TTTATGAATCTCTTACTATCGATTATTTCTTCATATGTTGAACTCTGGCTTTATTTCCTGATAATGATATTCCACCAAGACAATTTCCATGATATGACATACCTCTAGAAATAAATTGATTCTTTGTTGGTTTTTTCATTTCAATCCAATATTGAATTGCCAACTTAATTGCATTTTCATTAGCTTCACTACCCAGGTTTGCAAAATAAACTTTTGCTATTTTATCATCATATCCATCAAGAAGTAAATTTGCAAAATTTTCTACTATAGGAATTGTAAAATCCGCATTAAATGAATAAGTTATATTATTTAACATATGAGAATGAATGGATTCTATAACTTCTGGATTATTATGACCAACTGATATAACAGCTGCTCCTCCTATTGCATCAAGATATTTTTTACCATCTTGTGAATAAACATATTGACCTTTTGCTTTGATTAGAACCGTTGGTGGTTTTGTTATAGATCTATGAATAAGTTTAGAGTTTTGTAATTCGGAATCAGTAAATTGAGTCATAAAGAGCAAATAGTAAGTAAGGAAACATTTTGCACGTTGCAATTGATGGGAACAAGTGTATGGCTTTAAATATTTCGTTAATTGTGTATGTGTGATAACCCCCCCCCGGATTTGGATTGCCGCAAAAATGAATAAGGGGGGGTTACATAAAGAGATAACAAAATTTCAATGGGTCTTCCAGAAGTGGTAAATACTTCCGACAGAGTTAAACCCACATGGATGTTGAAATTCAATTAACAACGGTGTAAGAACCGATTCTCATGATATTTTCAATTCTATAAAGTTAATCACTCTACTAGTAAATTATACAGTTATCAATACTTCAAATCAAAACTCTCGTATAGAAACCAATTTCCGCGCAATTATAAAAAGAAAGAAAATTCCGCCTTGATTTATTGCACTTTCCTTATCAGTATCAACATCACCAACTCTAGCAATGACTGGACCAACCACTTCATCATCGAGTATTCTTCATCGTGATCTTCGAGTAACTCCAACTATCATCAATCATGCCAATGGAAATTATCTCTACACGGAGACATCACAAGAGATTTTTGATTCAGTTGGAGGTGCAGCCGTAATTTCAGTTGGTCATAATAATTCAGAAATTAATCAAGCTTTAATTTCACAATTGAATAAAGTTTGTTATATACATTCAGGTGATGAATTTACTACTGAAATTTCTGAAGTTTTAGCAAATTATTTGATTTCAAATAATAAAGAAATTGATCGAGTATATTTTGCTAATCTGGGAAGTGAAGCCAATGAAGCTGCTATAAAATTGGCAGTTCAATATTGGTATGAATTAGGAAAGCCAACAAAGAATCAATTTATTTCCAGAAATCAATCTTATCATGGAAATTGTCTCGGTGGGATGTCATTATCTGGTCATGTTGCTAGAAGAAAACCATATGAAGAAATAATTGATAGTAAAAGATTTCATAAAGTCAGTCCATGTTACGAATTCAGATACAAGAAAGAAGGTGAAACTAGTGAAGAATACACTCAAAGATTATTGGATGAATTGGAAGAAAAGATTACAGAAGTTGGTCCGGAGAATATTGCTGCTTTCTTTGCCGAAACAGTAGTTGGTGCTACCACAGG